TAGCTTTGTTGTTTTGCTAATACTTCAAAATAAACCTGTGAATGTCTGTGGATGAGCATGCCATTCAAAATCAAAGCGCACTTTTTAATTTTATAATGCCGTTTTATTGCTCTTCTTCCTAGTAGGTGCATTTTAAAAATGTTTTCCCGATGAATCATGGACTCCTGCTCAAAATTATAAATTAATATAAGAACAGCTACAAAAAAAATAAAAAAATCCTACAGCCCGTGAAGCTATTGTCGTTCCATCCTGGCGGATGACAGCTGTGACAGCTAAGTGGAATCCCGGAAAATAAACCGTGGAACTTTGACCGAGAGAACAGTTTACTCGCGCGTGACTTGTAGAAACAAATTTGGTCCATTTAGAAACTTTGCCGTCTGAAAGTGAATTGCACCAAGAATAAAAAGCAACATTGTAATAATTTTAATCCCTGTTTTGGAACAAAGCAATCGATCTACAGGTGTGAAAGCACCCTCAGTTGAAGTTTTTAAACTTAAGATAGAATTGGTAGCTCATCCTGATTGACAGCATTACTGTTTGTCACTCTAAACTAGCTGAATTCATGAAGTCTGAACATTTCTTGACAGGTGACTATGTGAGTGAGTAGACCAATGAAATTTGCTGCGAGCGTGATTTGCAAAAACAACACAAGAGTCATACCACTGCACATCAAACCATCATCTCAAAGTACAAATATTTCAGTCTCCTAAAGTATGTGGCATGTCAAGTATTGCTGACTATTACCATTTCTGAGAATGTACTGTAAGCTAACACTAAATAACACATTCAGTGCACTAGAACAATTATGTAATCATTGCATATGTCAGTTCATGAATATCAGTTTAACTACAGTAGGTTTTATTCTTTGTCTTCTGAAGATGTGAATGTAATTAAACTCATTAACAGACTAATGCATCTAACAGACTAAAAACAGAAACTGTAACAGATATGCAACCTCACGAGCCTAAAGATAAAACATGAACAAGCGCACACAGGAACACACTAACATGTAAGAACGAACATAAAAATGCATATGGAATAACACAGCCTGACTGGTGGCATTTAATTGAGCACTGCTTATGAAAGCCTGCGTGTAATTGCCATGCGTAGGTGTGTGGTTGGAAGTGTTATGGAAAATTGAAGCTTTGATTACCATAAGATTTTATTATTAAAGGTTGAAAACTTAAATGGTTCTCTACAATTATAATTTATGGCACTTTCACTTCATTTTTTAAAAAACGGTTTCACCAAATGCCTAAATTACAGAGTCTGAAAAATGTCTGAAATAAAGCTGCAAGCATTTAATAGAAACATATCTGACTGATTTCTCAGAGATCAGTGCTTGAAATGTTGACTCACCCACTACCATGATGTTGAGCTCAAAGCCCTGTTTCATGGCCTTCCTCCTCATCTGCTCCAGGATGGCATCAATGCCCACATAGCTGAAGTCGATGCTGGGCTTCTCCAGGCACATGGCTGGGGGCATCTCTGGCATAACAGACTCTGCCATGATGCTACTGCTGCTGTAGCTGGAAATGACCTCTGACCCTGCAAACATGAAGAGAAGACGCAAATGAGGGGCCATATATCATGGGGCATTTTGTTTTAACGCTCATATGCACTCAACAGCATTACACTGCAGGGTATTTTATAAGCTGTTACAGACACTCTTGGAGAGAATGTGCTTCTACACAACTGGAAAACAGACATAATAAACAGGGGACTCTTCTTCAGCCTGGAGCCAGCTAGCACATTTTTACTTCTCGATTTAAATAAATATCCATTTATTTGAGGTGCATTATTGGGCCAAAAATGTTCTCATCTCTCTTCGAATGCATCCATCATGTGAAAGAGCCCCTCTCCAAATCATCTACTGACATTATTTAGAGTACAACAATCTCATGAGTCATGACCCCTCGAAGATCAGGTTGGGATCACATTACATTACGCCGAAAGCCAAGCCGCATTGTGTCAGGAATATGATCGGATCTCTGAAAACACATGGAACAGAATTTTGACCACATTTAAATGAGGGTGTAAATGCATATGCATCGTCGTTCAGCTACGAAAGTAATATGTAACAAGGTTGCACTGATAAATCAATCACGTCACCATGACGGACTGAGAAATGTGAGAAATGACTTGGAATCTCATTTCTTAACTTTTCTGAGGGGTTGAAATGAAAGGAAATGCAAGACATGGCAGAAAGTATTTAGAATGCATTCTTTCAACGTTTTTAAAGTTCCGTAAATTACAGAAATGCTTCAGTTAAATGCAACCCGAATTCAAGTGCAACAAGAACGATCAGTTTTCCACCCAATCATGCTGCAGACACACTGGAAAAAAATATCCACATACTATCTGAATAAGAAATGTTGCTAAACTAGGCCTCAATATATACATTTTAAGCCAAAAACATTTTACTTTTTTTATTTACAATTCAAAAGGCATTTTTTCTTCCATACAACAAGATTGTGTTACATGTGACTTCACAAGAACTAGATAAGAAATACCTGACATTTAAAACATGATACAAAGACAGGAACCACTTCCTTTGTGTGAGAAACACCCATAATCAGTGTTAAGACACTCATGTAGAGATGATAACAAAAAAAATTATGGCTAAACAACACAAGATGTTTGTACAACTTTCTTTTTTAGGCAGAAGATGCAAACATAAGTCAGTGGAGCACCATCTCAAAGCCTGCGGCCCCATAGATCAGCGGGTCTTTCCAGCAGACAAAGCAGTTAAAAATTCTTCAAGTCAGTAACCTGACCCACTGGCAGCTCTCAGGGCTCGGTACAGTTATTCAGAAAGCCTATCGGCTTCTCTTCACCCTGACAGGGCGTCAAGCCAACAAACCCACAGCCACTGGATTCCTAGCTTCACAAAAGACCCGCTCTTCCCTAGAGACTCTCCAATGTTATATTACATTACAGGTACGGCAGGGCAACCAACAGCACAGAAACTTGTTCTGAATAGTAATTGATACATTTAGAATGCATGTTCACAGTTGACAGGGTGACAAGACTGAGCCAGTGTGTAGAAAGAGAGGTTTATGTCTCACCTTGACTGTGACGAGGTGATGAGAGAGAGGAGGACATCTGTATCTTCTGACACAGAGAACAGATATGCAACTATTCAAGTTATTTGGAAAAGTATGTGCAATAATATCACTGTCATTTGATGATCACATTGATGCACAGATATTAAAATTGTGTTCAATTACCAATAAATGTCAGATATAAGAATTGTATACTGTTTTTTCTCTACAAATAATGTCTAAAATAAAACAAATAAACAAATACAAATAAAACAAAGACTAAAATATTGATATAAATATATTTTGAAATAAAATACTAAAAACTAAAATGAATAACCAATAAATGGCGGATATTAAAATCATACACTATTTTGTCTACATTTATAATGTCCAAACACCCAATTAAACGTCTAAATAAAACAAATAAATATTAGTTTAAAAACACTGAAAACTAAAATACTAATGCAGAGATATTAAAATTTGGTCCAATAACCTATAAATGTCAGATATTAAAATGACACACTATTGTTTAAATAAATAAATAGGCTACTGTCTAAATATGTAGCCAAAACAAATAAACAAAATTATACAATAAAGCATGATACACAGGGCATACATTCTGTCCAATATCAGCTTCCAAAATTGTGTACTATTTTGTCTATATAAATACATGTCTAAATGCATATAAATAATTATTAAAATAAAACACTAAAAATAAAATCAATGGCTTTAAGTTCTATAATTGAATTGGAGCATTCAAAACATTAAAAGATAACATTAAATAACCAACATGAAGAGATACTTGGGGGAAAAAAACTGTAATATTGGGAGATAACTGATATGGTACCACTCACTAAATTGTTCTATTCAGTGTCTTTAGTCAAATATCTCCATGTACAAATATGCTGAGAGGATTGCACTCTGAGCTTCCTTTTGTTAGCATAGCCTGGAAACAATAACCCGTAAAGCCAGGAGGAACAACTAAAACACCCTTCCAGCATGGAAAAAGGCTCCTAACAACACTCTTACTCTTACCTGAATGAGGAGTGACTCCTCCTATGTTCAGACAGCTGATCTAGATCTTTCTGCTCTGATTAAGTATTCTGAGAACAGATGGCAGGCATGTGGTAACAACACTTTTCCTATGAAGAAGGCTGTATGAATAGAGAGTCATATTGCCCTTACACTGTTTATACTGCAGTTACACTGCAGCCGGTGAGGAGACACACCTAGCTTCCACCTCTAATGACCAACAGACCACTTCCTCAGTTCGTTTAAAACCATTCGCATCCCCTCCTACTCTACATTCAGCCAGGTCAAGGCAGGAATCACCTTCATTCCACTTCTTGGCATCCGTCCCAACATCTTCCTCCTGGGTAAATACAAAGTGATGAAAGCAGAGAGTGAAAGAGCACTTTGGTGGTGGACTTTACAATGAAAAGGTCATCTCTAGCCTCTTTTTTTTACCATTGTCAACAGAGGTAAAGCAGCATCAAAATGGCCCATGCTGACTTTGGCCAAAGCCACTGTATTGTCAGTAAGCATAAATGTCCAATACAAAAAACCTCCCTCAATGGGAACAGAAGACAAACAGTTCCAGTACCAGAACAGTATTTAGCCTATTCCTGACTCAATCTAAGAGCCTAATCTAAAGACTTCTCACACATTTACACCACAGAAAAGTTCTGGGCCAGAGAAATCGGCTCCACTTCGGCTCCTAAAACTTCAAACCAGAAACATAAAAAAATAGATACACACATCCTGTCCTTAAATCTGTCATTTTAAATATATGGTATATACTGTATGTAAATTATGTGTACATAAATATATATATATATTTCACATGTTAGTACTGAATAAATTTAATTTCACAATACTGTTTAAAGGTTTGGGCTCTTATTTCCACCAAGGCTGCATTTATTTGACCAAAAATATAGTATTCCTATATTAGGAATATACCTATTCTCACTATTAACTAGTTGCTTATTAGCAAGCATATTACTAGCATACTGGCTGTTTATTAGTCATTATAAAGCATACATTAATGCCATATTCTGCATGATCATATTTAATATCTTTTAAACCTACCAAATACCTAAATTTAACAACTACATTACTAACTAATAAGCAGCAAACTAAGAGTTTATTTAGTGAAACCTCTTAGTTAATAGTGAATAAGTGTTTCCTATTCTAAAGTGTTCCCACACAGACAGTAATATTGTGCAATTAAAAAGTAAAATAATAAAAGGAATAAATGTTTTAAAATATAATTAAACAAATGTTATATTTTTATATATTTAAAATATAATAAAAATTCTGTGATGGAAAATACAAATTTTCAGCATCATTACTCCAGTCTTCAGTGTCACATGATTTTTCAGAAATTCTAATTACTGATTTGGCGCTCAAGAAACATCAATTTCAAAAACAGCACTGCTCACTATTTTTGTGAAAATGGAAATACATTTTATTTCAGGATTCTTTGATAAATGGAAAGCTTAAAAGAACAGCATTTAATTAAAATATAAATCTTTTTTTTATATCATAAATGTCTTTACCGTCTCTTTTGATCAATTTAATGCATCCCAAGTTATGTGTTGGGCTACATGTTTAAATATGTTGATGAGATATTTTTATTTGGTTCAGAGTGCAGCTAGTATCTACAAATGGGATATTCTAGAATGCTGTTCTCGCTGCCCTAAGGGTGATTTGGAGGAGATCCTCTTTAGCTCACAGTAATGTCCGGCATCTTAATATCCTCAATCAAGGAGAGTGCTTTACAATAGCTGGAGGTCTCTAGAAAGCCCACCTGTATTGACGAAGGAATCTACAAACAGCACAAAGCCTGATCAAACACAAACATTGGGCTGTTTTTGCCTCACTGAACACACTGAAGTCAAGCAATTTAAAACCTTTTTTTCACTTACTTTTTTCCCTACAGAGAAGAACTTATCATCAAGGATTTCTTGGCAATGTACTAGAAGTTCTTCAGAACTGTGTTTTGTAGAAATATTTGCCTGTGACACATTTTTGTGCCCATCTGTTCTTGGATCAGCTTCAGCATCTAATGGAATAAACCCATCAGTCATCACTATGAAACATAATGAAAGCGTATAAACTCCCTGACAACAGACAGAGTCACAACAGAGGAAAAAAGCTGACCAACGAATCTATGATTTCCCTTCATCCAGGACCACGTGCAATGTCTTTCCTGAGTGATACTGTGCAACTCAGAAAAGTAAACTGTCATACAGAATGGAAATCCATGCCTGTAAAACGAACTGTGAAGCAGGTGCTTGCGCACAATCAGAGTGACCCCATAAATCTCCAGTACCATTAGCCTGAGCGTTACAAACTTGCCAAATTAGCAAAACAGCTGGAAGACATTAAAATCCCATTATAAGAGAGCAAAAACCCACTAAATGAAGGCTAAAATCGAATATTAGAGCCTGCTTGTGTAGATTATGTCCCAACAGAAATTTATTAGACAAACTAACCTTCAGT